TTTGGACTTTGTAAATAGTTCATCTAGCTCATCCGTCCAATGGAATGGTGTAGATGGTTTCAATAGAGCTCGGAACGGTTTCATCTGTTTAGTCATGGCAAACGCGTAGGCACCTTGGTTGACCAAACCAAACCATGCTCTTGCACCGGTAATGTCGGATGGTGTGGGGAAGTTGCTGATTGCATATAGGAACTTCGTGCTTGGTCGTATATTTGTAGGAGTAATTGTGAGTCCAGCAAAATCTACAATATCTTGAGCAAACTGGAACTTCTTCGGGTTGAGGGTAATACCATTCCGAGCACAGAGGTCTAACCATTCGCACGTCTGGAAGAATGCTGCTTTAACAGAATCTGCCCACATACAAGTGTCATCCACGCATTTGACCTTGTTCTTGAAGTCCGTAATGACAGCATCAAATCGTTGGTTGTAAGCATCTCCGCTGGCCATAAATCCCTGTGGAGCTACCTTGTATCTGTACCATCCCCATGGTGTGATAAAAGTGGTAAAGTGACGGTCCTCCTCTCGAATAGGTACAGAGTGGTATCCATTCCAAGCGTCAGTAACGGTCTTCTTCATACCTTGAGGTACCCTGTCTGCTAGATGAAACGGACTCGGTACATGATGGGTCTGGCGTACAGAGTGACGGTTTTGTGGTTGAAGATCTACCGTCCTTCTGGGCGTACCATCAGCTTTACCTGTAACTACCATCCTGGAACACCAAGTTGTAGGGGTATTCTGGCTAACTTTCTCCAAGACTCCAATTCTTACGTCTCTCTCCAGGTCAGCATAGACTTTATCCTGCCAATGGATGGGTACCAGTGCTGGCTTGTGAACAGCAACTGGTCTGGCATCAGGATCTATGTGAAGCTTAAGGGGCTCACAGTTCATCAGCGGTAAAGGTTGATGTTCACATACATTAAAAGTTGTAGCACCATAGTAATCAAGTAGCCATTCCTTTAATGCATCCACATTTTCTTCAGTGGCGTCCAAGCCTGGTGGTAGTGTTGTTGGTAGTGGAGGTGGATTAGGCTGACGTCTAGGACAGGAGCAGGTAGTCTCATCTTCTACAGAAGCAAAACTCTCTGATGTGTCTATGGGATGGTTTGGGAAGTCTGCATGAATTATTCCAAGAGAAACCAGTGCCTCCCTGCAGATGAAGGCTTTTTCCATTACATCAGATACATAACATAATATGCGTGTAGATTTGGAACCATCTCTGACCTTCACATCAACTGCAACCGCTCCAATAACCCCAAGGTTTTCTTTGATGGCACCACGCATAACGAGCTTTACTGGAATTAAGTCGTTTCTGGTAATTCCCAGGTTGTTGGCTGTCTGTAATGGGATAATCGTACTCTGGCATCCGGTGTCAGCTACCATCGTCAGTTGTATCGTTTTGAGCCTTGTAACATCTTTGATGGGATGTCCAAATGAGGCATGGTCCTCGGCCAAAGGTGTCATATTAACCAGTAGCATCGGATGAGGTTTGGACGGCCTAGCTATCCATTTTCCTTCGAAGATGTGATGTTCAAGATGTGCTGTATTCTGATATTGTTCTGATGTGGTGCATAGCTGGTCGTAGACATAACCAACCTTGTCGTCAGCATCTTTCGTCGGTTCCTGTGATGGTCCCTGATTGCGGAGTTTCTGTCCTCGTCCCTGTGTACAAGCCCTTGACGATGAATCACGATGTCCCCAGGCACCACATGTTGAACACTTGCTGCATGACTTGGTATAATGACCCTTAACTTTACATTTGGCACATGTAGATGTCCAGGCCTCGCAACTTCTTTGTCTGGCTCGACGATCGTTTCTTTGTCCGTGGGCAGGGCCACCACATGCCCAGCACTTGCCTCCAGGTCCTTGTACTGATTTTTGGCCATGGGTCGTAGTCGACATTGCACCGGCTGAATCTCCAACTGCACTCCGTGTAACTTTGCCTTGTTCCTTCTGTGCTATGAAGGAAACAGTCTCTTCCAAGGTTCTGTCTGTCTTAGGATCACCAAGCAGGTCAGACAAAATTTCAGGGTCTGCAATTCCTCTTACCAGATTGTCCTTTATGATCTCATCACTGTAGTCATAAATGTGGTTACATCCTTCCTCCTTGCACGTGGCCTTGTACTGACAGAGTGACGCCTGACCTCGGAGACTGGCTAAAAACGTTCTGATGCTGGTACCAGGTGCTTGTGTCATCTTACTGAGCTTAATGCGTTGTACCAATGTGCTCTCATCCTTCACAGCAAGCCGTTTAATGACATTCATCAGGTCCGCCTCTGGCATGTCTGTGATGTTACCTCGTTGGTCGCGCATGACGTCGGTCCGAAGGTCTGAGTCACAGCAGTAGAACAGAGCAGTGGGTATGACGTTTTGGGCAATGGCCATACCCACCTTGTACATCTCCCATTGTCGAGTGAACGCTGACCACTGGTCTGGGTCACACCCAGCAGCTATGGTGGGTGGGTCCAACTTCAGTTTGGGAGCCGCGGCAGCTGCTGGCTGGGCCTGTGGCTGGTGAACAGTCCTATCATGGATCTGGAGGGCTGCTGTCATCGCTGCGGCAAAAGCTGCATCCAGGTCCTGAGACTGCCAATCACATCCAAATACAGGGCACTCTAATATTGGCATGTTGGGGATTATATTTTGTACCAAAATTGTCAATAATTGGTTTATTTCTGTTAATTTCTTGTTCTGGAGGCCTGTTTTTCGTCAGATTGTGTAGAAGTGGTATCAGTCATAAATGATAACCATCATCCAATGAGTCTTTAATTAACTATATAAGGATGACTGATACCTAAAACAGAGAAATAATATTACATTACACAAATGATTAGTTACCCCGGGGGTCATGATGTGAACAATTTAGAATCTACATTATACCAAGATGCTTCCACATAAGTTTCAGCTTTTCTGGCCCAGTGGTTCTTGAGAAGAAGATTTTCAAAGATTTTTCCTATATATTTCTATATAAAACTTTGATTCCCCATTGTGGCCCCGCCCTTCCCCCGGGGGTCATGATTTGAACAATTTAGAATCTACATTATACCAGGATGCTTCCACATAAGTTTCAGCTTTTCTGGCCCAGTGGTTCTTGAGAAGAAGATTTTCAAAGATTTTTCCTATATATTTCTATGTAAAACTTTGATACCCTATTGTGGCCCCGCCCTCCCCCCGGGGGTCATGATTTGTACAATTTAGAATTTACACTACCCCAGGGTGCTTCCACATAAGTTTCAGCTTTTCTGGCCCAGTGGTTCTTGAGAAGAAGATTTTCAAAGATTTTTCCAATATATATTTCTATGTAAAACTTTGATTCCCCATTGTGGCCCCCCGCCCTTCCCTCGGGGGTCATGATGTGAACAATTTAGAATCTACATTATACCAAGATGCTTCCACATAAGTTTCAGCTTTTCTGGCCCAGTGGTTCTTGAGAAGAAGATTTTCAAAGATTTTTCCTATATATTTCTATATAAAACTTTGATTCCCCATTGTGGCCACGCCCTTCCCCCGGGGGTCATGATTTGAACAATTTAGAATCTACATTATACCAGGATGCTTCCACATAAGTTTCAGCTTTTCTGGCCCAGTGGTTCTTGAGAAGAAGATTTTCAAAGATTTTCCCTATATATTTCTATATAAAACTTTGATTCCCCATTGTGGCCCCGCCCTTCCCCCGGGGGTCATGATTTGAACAATTTAGTATCTACACTACCCCAGGGTGCTTCCACATAAGTTTCAGCTTTTCTGGGCCAGTGGTTCTTGAGAAGAAGATTTTCAAAGATTTTTCCTATATATTTCTATATAAAACTTTGATTCCCCATTGTGGCCCCGCCCTTCCCCCGGGGGTCATGATTTGAACAATTTAGAATCTACACTACCCCAGGATGCTTCCACATAAGTTTCAGCTTTACTGGCCCAGTGGTTCTTGAGAAGAAGATTTTTTAATGACCCAACCCTATTTTTGTCTTTTCTTGATTATCTCCCCTTGCGAGGGGATATGTCCCTTCATTTTAACAATTTAAATTCCCCTTCACCCAAGGATGCTTTGTACCAAGTTTGGTCAAAATTGGCCAAGTGGTTCTTGAGAAGAAGTCGAAAATGTGAAAAGTTTACAGACGGACAGACAGACAGACGGACAGACGGACGGACGACGGACAAAATGTGATCAGAAAAGCTCACTTGAGCCTTCGGCTCAGGTGAGCTAACATAAGCTAAACGATTAATAAGCTTGCCTTGATTTAAGGAATTCATTGCAGAAACATAATCAATAAAACGGTTCTTCATTCAAATCAGCCCTGTTCAGACTTCGGTTTGGCAAAGCAACATGCATATGACATCATGTGACATCAGAGTCTTAGACGCACCGAATGTCACGTGCGGTTTGACGAGCATGATCTAAATCATTTAGATACGAGCATTCTGATCTTATTTCATTTAGTAAATGAAATAAGATCAGAATGCTCGTTTTACTGCTTCAAACATCAGTGCAGTAGCCAATCAAAACTTGTTTTACAAAACAATTGCATTGGAATGGATAAGTATCTGCGTTCGCCCTAACGGTCGCACCGTCAACATATTATAGAACATGCATCTAGTGATCTAGCCAAATTGTTCAACATCTTACGCTTAGTGTAAGTGTTTCTAGCATTATATCGTTCCTTTGGGTATGATTTTAGTTAGCAACATATTTAAACTTAGACTTTTGTCAATATAAAACAGTTTTTGCAGCTCTATATTTCTATGAAAGTTAAAACAACCTAAAATTCCTGGAATTTTCACGCCTGTGTGTCCTCCATTAAATTGTATATTAATTCGAACCAAAAACCTTTCGTATTTTATTGAATGGTTGAATCAGCGATTAATCTGCTTACTGTTTACAAACAAGTTTAAAATATATTTGATTTTTAGAAAGTTTATTATAGTATTCTTCTGAAAATATTTACTGGATGCATTTTCTTTTATATAAAGAACAATATAGGAATATTACAACGAACGATCTGTCATAGATCCATCACCCGCGCACTTGCCAACAAAGGAAAGAAAAGTATGATAAAACTTATTAATCACATTTAGAAGATAACATGGAGTGTTTGACTTTAGATTTTGGTCCATTTGAGGCGGTTCACCGCTGGAGAAGAATGCCAGAGTGTGATGAATTTGTTGGTGCAAGGTAATTAACAGCAAAGCTTTTAACTGTGTACAGCAGTACTGCCAGTAGTTAGAGTAATCTAACTGTCTCGGGACAAACCCTCACCATATGTTAAATTTTGTATGCAATAGTTTTATGGTAAACTTTTTGATATATAAAAAATTATTCTTTTTGACTATTAAAAAGATTTTTTTTTCTTTTGACAGACGAAGCAAACACACAGTTGTTGCCTACAAGGATGCAATATATGTCTTTGGAGGAGATAACGGGTATTTCTTCTCTAAATTAATTATTTATATTTTAAAATGATTTATATTTGATTTTAATATGTATAAATTATCGAAAAAGAGTGCTTAGAAAGAAACTAAGCTCATGCTCTCAGTATCAGGCACTGTACAGTCTCTTGATTTAGCTATATAGCTTTATTAAGCTATTCAAAATAGCTTTATTTAGCTTTGTAGAACTTTGAGTACAAAGTCTCTCAAGGAGACGTAATTTGATGAGTGATTTTTATATGCATTATTTTAAGAAGAGTTCAAAGTTGTATATCATCACTGCACCAAGGTGTGCTTTTTTGTACATACTGAGAAAATTACACCTTTAAGAAAAAAGTGTAGTAAAATAGCTAAATTAAGCAATACTGAATAGCTTAATAAAGCTATGTAGCTATTTAAAGCTATATATAGCTAAATCAAGAGATTGTACTGGACTTGAGTATGTTAGAATGAAACCATAAAAATGAAACCATGAAATATTCATTTAAAAATATGTTAACTTAGTATAAAACATTCTTTTTATTGATTGAATAACATGTAAATATGTGTGGCTACGCTCGTACATTATTCTAGGAAGAACATGCTGAGTGACTTGTTGCGATTTGATGTGAAAGATAAGTCCTGGGGAAGGTAACTATATTTTCAGTGAAAAACTTGAATGTTTTTAGATACTTCTGGACTTTTAAAAATTTTAGTGTGTGACAATTAAATGCATTTCATTTTCTTGTTACATTACAGAGCATTCACCACGGGTACTCCTCCTGCTCCCCGATATCACCATTCTGCTGTTGTTCATGAAGAAAGCATGTTTGTGTTTGGTAAGACTCTTTTCAGTAATAACGTATAACGGGTAATTTTTATTGCTGTGAATTTTTACGAATTTCGGTTGAAATAGAGTGATTTAATTTTTTACGTGTTAAATTTTTACGATTTGAGCATGTCCTAAAAATTAAAATCATCAGAGGTGAAGTTCCAGATCAATGTTTTAGCTTTTTGAATGAATTAACATACAAATACATGTCTTAAATATGTGGACAAACCGATGTAAAAATTAAAAAAAACGAAATTGTTCCCGTGATTACGAGTGTCGATTCATTAAAAGATGATATGTTTATTCATTTAAATACCTTTATATATCACATGCCCTGCATTTATTCCTGTTTTCAATTAAAACACATGTCTAGTATAATTATTGTTGCGCACCACATGCCCCGTGACCGTGCCCGTCTTCATTTTAATGGAAACAAAGAGAGACAACTCAAACCATCATAAGTAAGTTGACAGAATTAAGGGACACGGATTACAGTCTACTAAAATGTTGAAGTATTTACTGTAAGCAAATAAAAAAGAAGAAAGGGTCAAAGTCTTTAAAAATGGATATTATTTGAAGACTTCAGTCTGTAATAATTAAGCCATTTATCAGAAGTCATGTGTCCCATAAGAGTAACCAGGTAATTGACGATGTTTGTATTTGTGCATTAAGATTTACTCATTTGATCTTAATTGATGATCAATTAAAAAGTTCCCAAAAATACCAACGGTTGTCAGTACTAATTTTATAGCCTCCAGGTACTTAGCTAAATGACAGTAATAACATTGAAATACTCTCATAATATACGATGTTGAAAATTTAGGCAAAGCGTTTCTTACTTCTGTGAAATTTTACCTGTTTAAATTTTACGGATTTATAAAACTCGTAAAAATTAGCAGCATGTAAAAAATACCCATCATGCGGCAATTTGGTCAAAATTTTATTATTACCCCTGGTAATGAATGTTGAATTAGTTTTAGTAAATAGAATTGAAGTAATGTAAGCTTTTTCCTGCTAGGTGGATACACAGGGGATATCCACTCCAATTCAAACCTGACCAATAAGAATGACTTATTTGAGTATCGCTTTGCCAAAGGACAGTGGGTGGAGTGGAAGTATGAAGGGAGGTTGGTGATTTATTATTTACACTTATTGGGGTCATATTTTGTCTGTGAGAAAAAAATCTGTAAATATTAAACATATATTGTAGAAAACCAGTTGCTCGTGCAGCTCATGGTGCAGCCGTGTATGACTGGAAGCTGTGGATATTCGCAGGATATGATGGAAACACGAGACTAAACGACATGTGGACAGTCCCTCTGAATGGTGAACAAAGACAATGGCAAGAGGTAGGGGTTTTGTTCTGTGTTTGAAATAAAGGCACATTTAAATGTTGGCTTTTAGCTCACCTGAGCCAAAGGCTCAAGTGAACTTTTCTGATCAAAATTTGTCCGTTGTCTGTCGTTGTCGTTGTCGTGGTCGTTGTCGTCGTGATCTTTTCACATTTTCATCTTCTTCTCAAGAACCACTGGGCCAATTTCAACCAAACTTGGCACAAAGTATCCTTTGGTGAAGGGGATTCAAGTTTGTTCAAATGAAGGGCCACCCCCTTTTCCAAGGGGAGATAATCATGAATTTGTTAAAAATTAATGGCATTTTTAAAAAAATCTTCTTCTCCAGAACCGCTGGGCCAGGAAAGATGAAACTCATGTGAAAACATCCTCAGGTAGTGTAGATTCAAGTTTGTTCAAATCATGACCCCCGGGGCAAGGGTGGGGCCAAAATGGCCAACCCAAGTTTTACATAGGGATATATAGGAAAAATCTTTAAAAAATCTTCTTCTCCAGAACCACTAGGACAGGAAAGATGAAACTCATGTGGAATCATCCTCAGGTAGTGTAGATTCAAGTTTGTTCAAATCATGACCCCTGGGGCAAGGGTGGGGCCAAAATGGCCGACCCTAGTTTTACTTAGGAATATATAGGAAAAAATTTTAAAAATCTTCTTCTCAAGAACCACTAGGACAGGAAAGATGAAACTCATTTGGAATCATCCTCAGGTAGTGTAGATTCAAGTTTGTTCAAATCATGACCCCTGGGGCAAGGGTGGGGCCAAAATGGCTGACCCAAGTTTTACTTAGGAATATATAAGAAAAATCTTTAAAAATCTTCTTCTCCAGAACCACTAGGCCAGGAAAGATGAAACTCATATGGAATCATCCTCAGGTAGTGTAGATTCAATTTTGTTCAAATCATGACCCCCGGGGCAAGGGTGGGGCCAAAAATGGCGGACCCAAGTTTTACATAGGAAAATATGGGAAAAATCTTTAAAAATCTTCTTCTCCAGAACCACTGGGCCAGGAAAGATGAAACTCATGTGGAATCATCCTCAGGTAGTGTAGATTCAAGTTTGTTCAAATCATGACCCCCGGGGCAAGGGTGGGGCCAAAATGGCCAACCCAAGTTTTACATAGGAATATATAGGAAAAATCTTTAAAAATCTTCTTCTCCAGAACCACTGGGCCAGGAAAGATGAAACTCATGTGGAATCATCCTCAGGTAGTGTAGATTCAAGTTTGTTCAAATCATGACCCCCGGGGCAAGGGTGGGGCCAAAATGGCCGACCCAAGTTTTACATAGGAATATATAGGAAATATCTTTAAAAATCCTTCTGAAGATCCACTGGGCCAGGAAAGATGAAACTCATGTGGAATCATCCTCAGGTAGTGTAGATTCAAGTTTGTTCAAATCATGACCCCCGTGGCTAGGGTGGGGCCAAAATGGCCGACCCAGGTTTTACATAGGGATATATAGGGAAACCTTTTAAAATCTTCTTTTCAAGTACTTCAAAGCTATGATTAGTGATATTTATATGGAATCATCCTCAGGTAGTGTAGATTCTAGTTTGTTCAGATGATGAACACCTGGAGGGGGGGAGTAAATTCAAGCCCGATGTGCTCAGGTGAGCGCTGTGGCCCCTGGGCCTCTTGTTTTAAATGTTGAAGATAAGATGTGGTACATAAAGAAATACATGTAAATAGTATTGAAATTTTATATTTCAATTTTGTGTCTTTATTACTTTTTGTCAATATATTATCATTATCTATGTCATAATAATTTATGTGAAATTACATGTATACTATAATACTATTGATTTACTGTGCTTAAAACACACTCAGGTTGAACAAAGAGGAAATATTCCCCCCACCTGCTGTAACTTTGCCTTGGCAGTGGCCAGAGATTCAATGTTTGTGTTTTCTGGACAAAGTGGAGCCAAAATAACAAATAATCTTTTCCAATTTAATTTCAAAGAAAATGAGTAAGTTTTATTATTCATATTGATTTCCTAAATATTATCATTATTATTTAACATTTATATCTCATAGATTATAATGATGGAAGAAAAGAACCTTCTTTCTAAAAATTATTCTGAGTTACTGTAATAAAATTTTACAAGAAAGTTTAGCAGTTTATTACCATGTTATCAGATGGACAAAGATTTCTACAGAACACATCCTGCGGGGTGCCCCTCCCCCTCCCGAGAAGAGGTATGGACACACTATGGTGGCCTTTGACAGACACCTGTATGTGTTTGGTGGAGCTACCGGACAGACATTACCCAATGAACTGCACAGGTTAGGTGATAAAATAAATTTACTTTTAAAACAATATTAACGTAGATGAATGACTTTAAACAAAAAAAATTCCAAAGACTCTAGAAGGAGTGTAGCATTTCTTACACTAGTAAATACCATAACTGTATAATGTTATTATTTGCTAAGAATAACATCCATGTTTGTGAAGGAATATAACTTTTATTCCAAAACTTTCAAACATATTCATACTATAATATGTGGTCTTTAAAACATATGTTGTTGTTTTGTTTATTTATAGTTTTAACCCACATACATGTACTTTCCTTTAAACTTACATGTTTACTGTACTTGTAACCTATAGATTATTGGGACAATCTGTCACTTTAGTCTACTATTTTATTTTCTAGCTTTGATCTGGATTCCCAGACCTGGTCTATCACAGAACCTGCTCCTAACAGTCAGGTATTACTTCAGACTTTAATAGACATGTAGTCTGTAGTTGCATCTTGTAAAAGTGATGATTATTCCAGTGAAGTAGGTCTTATTCAGAATACAGATACACTATGATTTTAAAAGAAAGATCTGTCTTATTGCTGTTATCCCAGTGTTTTATATGTCTAGCAATCTTTCCAATTAGTCTGTAAATATATTGATCATGTATCTCTTTCTTTTTCTTGAATTTTGTACTTTTAAAGTCAGTACATGTAATAACAAAAAAAAAACATTTTCCTTTTTTTCATATACCAAACAACATACATGGTTAATGGTTATGCATGGTCTCGCAAAGTGTCTGTTTAGTGTTGGTACAAATAATCTTCATTGAATATGAATGTTATACGGAAGAGGACTTACTGTAAACCAACTTTTATTCACTTGCGAGAAATTTTCATGAGAGTCTAGTCAATGGGAATATTTCTAGCTGTGAATAGGTTCTTAAAGTCTGTGTCTATTAACAACAGATCCAACAGAGGCTTGATTGCCAAAATTAATTGTCGCAAACTAGTTTACCCACAGTAAATTGCGAAATAAAGTTGTTGCAAATAAAAGTTGGTTTTCAGTATGTCTGAAATTCTCTGACTTTACACTTCTGACCAATGGTTAACTACCAATATTTATTCCTTTTGTAAAAGTGAGGGCCTATTGCTTTGCTGCAGTCTGTCGGTCAGTAGGTTGATCGGTCTGTTGGTCCACCATCAGTTTCCAGTCATTTTCTTCTCAGAGGTTGCATATATTGTAATGATTTTTTTTTATACAGATTTATCATAAAAATGTCTTGATCAAGTTATGTTTTGGATATGATAAAGCCATTTTGGACAGAGTAATGCCCCTTGAACTTAGAAAAAGTCTAATTATTTGCAGTTTCTGTTCATTTTTTTTTTTTTTTTTGCTGAGGTTGCACATATTGATTGTAATGAAATTTTATGTACAGATTTATTATAAGAATATCCAGGTAAAGTTTTGTTTTGGATCGAGTTATTTTTGACAGAGTTATGCCCCTTAAAGTATAAAAAATTCCAATTATTTTCAGTTTCTGTTCATATTCTTTGCAGAGGTTGCTTATATTGAAATGAAATTTGGCATACAAATTTATCATAAGAATATCTTGACCAAGTTATGTTTTGGATACAATCAAGCCATTTTTGAAAGAGTTATGCCCCGTGGTCTTAGATGTCTGGGGAAGGGGGGCATATGTGTTTTACAAACATCTCATTTTCTGTTGATGACTTGCTTAAGATACATGTACTTGCTGGTAGGCTTTTTCAATTTTAACCAGTGATTAGCTATCAATAACTCTGATGATGACTTGCATTAGGTCCCAGCTGGAAGACTCTTCCATGCTGCTGCTGTTGTGGATGATGCTATGTATGTTTTTGGTGGAACGGTGGATAATATAGTCAGGAGTGGAGAGATGTATCGATTTCAGGTGAGTACAGTTCTTTATGTTAATGTTATACAATAGATAATATAGTCGGGAGTGGAGAGATGTATAGATTTCAGGTGAGTACAGTTCTTAAGTTAATGCCATAAAATTCAAGAGCATTTTGTTGAATATCTATAATAGTTTAATAATTTTCATTGCAATTTTTTTGTTCAAATACTATCACTAAATGCAGGGTTAAACAGAATGTGATTTTTTTTAAATTTCAGTTTTCTAGATACCCTAAATGTACTCTTCATGAGGATTTTGGGAAGCTTTTAGAAAGTCAACAGTTCTGTGATCTACACTTTATTGTTGGCAAGGTAATGTAATAAACTCAAAGCGTTGACATTTAATTGCTAGTTATAGACACATTTTGCTAAAATTGAGCCAAAATAATGTTTTTTGACAAGTTTAAACCTGCATGTACATCCAATAAAGTGTCCAGATTATAGCATTTAGAAATACACCTTAGCAGTTTTATAAATTGTATTCTGATATACACATGTACATGTACATGTAAAAACATATGTGATGTACATGTAATAATTTTAAAAGAGAAGTATTTTTGATAATTCAGGATGGGACTAAGGAGTGTATAGCTGCACACATCGCGTTAGTGGCTGCTAGGTCATCGTGGTTAGCGGAGAAGATACGTACTGCTAAAGAACAGCGTTACCTGGACGAGGCTACGAGTACCGACCCTATACAGGTGATCCTGCCAGAGGCAAACCCCACGGCTCTGAAACTAGTCCTCTCCTATATATACACAGATAAAATTCTACCTACTAAAGAAGGTTAGTTTGACTTGTTGGGGAATAAAATCCTGAATTCATTGCAATGAATCAGTGGTATTATAGAACTGACATTTATTATGTGTAACTTTATTAAAGTGATGATTTTTTGCATATTCTTCATTTTCAGGTCAAGATTTTAATAGTAATGAAGTGATACTTCTTATGATGGATGTGTATAGATTGGCACTTCAGGTAATAAAAGTTTCTATTAAAAGTACCCTAAAATGATTTTACCTCTATAAACTTTAATACTTTATTTATTTTAGTTCCACGTGTCTGTGCATAAACTGTAACACAATCTTTATTTTAGTTCCACATGTCCCGGTTGGAGCTGTTGTGTGTTCAGTACCTGGAGACCTGTATTGGTCTGAAGAACGTCCTTGTAGCTTTACAGAATGCCTCCAAGATGAATCTTGACTTCCTTAAAGTAAGGGTTTATATTTTAATACAGGGAAGTATTTCAGTCAAACTATAATCTGCTTGTCATGCATGTGAATAATCCACTGTTAACTAAGAAAGAACCAAGACTTCAGGATACTTTATTCCCCCCACATTTGCAAAATAAGGGAACATTAAATCTGCTTCATCTGTCTTTTCATCAGTCTCTCCATCTGTCAATTATATCACAGAACTTAAACATTGGTAAGAAGTTTAATATGTGGGAAGACAAGGCTTTCATATTTCACATGTGCATTACTTGTAACAAGTCCCTTTCCACATATACTATGATTTTTGGCTTTATGACCTTGACTTAGTTCTTTTTATAAAAAAAAAATAACTTTGATGGTAACCTTTGCACCAGGAAAGAAACTTTAAATTACCTGGTAGTGAAATTACACAAACTTATAAATGTGAAGAAAATGCTGCTTTCAGAAATTCTAGTCTTGGTTGTAACTTTTATTACTTCAAAAAATTTAGGTATTTTCTTTGATATGATGGACAGACAAGATAGGACACAGCACAGAGACAAGACAGATATTGGATACAATAAATAATTCAATGATTTTATTCCAATCATTACAACTCTGAAAGAGGGGGGCCATAATTCTTTGAATATGCTTGTAGCTCATTACAATATGCTGATATTTATAATTGTTAAATTCATTTCAGGAATATTGTTTGAAGTTTATTGTGAAGGAGAGTAACTGTAGTCAGATTGTAAACAGTAGAGAGTTTGAGAGCTTGGATAAGCAGCTTATGGTAGAAATCATCCGACGGAAGCTTAGCCAGCCACAACACATAAGACTGCCTGCTGAGTCACATAACGAGGCCATCGTCACAAGTAGTAAGTCTCAGATACATGTTTTGGAATATGTATAGTTGAAACTCCCTATTACATAAATTTTTACGTTTCATTTTTTAGCATTAAGATATTACCTCTTGTTCCTATTAGTGATTTTTGTAATGTTTTACCTTGTTTAATTATAAGCATTGAACAACAACAAAAAAAGACATCAAAGAAGTATACATTCAGAATGATACCGAAGAAAATGATCGTATGATATGCATGTATTTTTTTTTTTAATGCAGTGCCATAATTGAAAGATTTCAGTATGTCCATATGCAATATTTATTTGATATATGTACATTGTATGTTTAGATAATTCTTTGGAACACGACCTTAATGCCTTCCTGAAGAGAGATGGAGCAGAATTCTGTGACATCACCCTAATGTTGGACGACACACCTATCCCCGCCCACAAGGCCATCTTAGCTGCCAGGTGTAATTACTTTGAAGCTATGTTTAGATGGAATGACCCAGAAAACCACACTGTCAGGGTAAGTTATGTAACTCAGCTACTTTGTCCATGTTCTTGTTTTTACCAAGGTTTATATGCATGAACAAATTTTTTTTCTATGAAAACTAAATGAAAACTAAAAACACCACTGTATACATGTGTTAAAATTAAATGTTTTTTTTTTGACAACAGATTGCAATAGGAGAAATGGTTCCATCTCGCCAAGCGTTTGACAGTCTCCTGCAGTATATTTACTATGGCGATGTTACCATGCCTCCAGAAGACTCACTCTACCTCTTCCCGGCTCCATATTTTTATGGATTTACAAACAACAGATTACAAGCCTACTGTAAACACAATCTAGAGAAAAATGTCTCTGTTCAAAATGTTGTACAGGTATTAAATATAGATACTTTTAATAATTTCATTACTGTAAAAGTACTTTTTTCCACGTGGTATTAATTTACACTATGTACTCGGTTAGAAATTTTCCGCTGAAATTTGTCCAAGCGTACTTAATATAAATGTAAGGCATATAGTGACACTCTAAGAAATCCGCGTAATTTTCTACCCGCGGATAACACAGAAATTGAGATTCTGCGGAGTTATGACCTCTTGGAAAAAAGTATGTCTACAGTAATTGAAATTAGTAATGTTTCACCTTGTTGGATATTAGAAGAGAACTATATACTGAGTATTTCTTTTATTTATGAAAAAGGAAGTTAAATGGACAAACAGTTTAAATAAATAAAAGGCATTATAATTTTAAAGATAATCTTTCCTTAGATTTTAGAGGCTGCAGATAAAATTCAGGCACTGGATATGAAGAAGCATGCTCTGAGATTAATTGTTCATCATTTTCCAAAGGTAATTATACAGTATTAAAATTATTTTTTGCATTAACCTACATGCAAAGCAATTTACACATTTTAACTTTCTCTTCATTCCTTTGTAGAAAATATGTTCATGTGTAGAATAATATATATATATATACTGTACTTTCTATACATGTGCTGGCACATGTACATGTAAATAATATTTGTTGGTTTCATTACAGGTTGCCAGGCAACCAGAATTAGGCAGACTTAACAAGGACATGCTCTTGGAAATAATCGCTGCTGTGGCCGATGACAGACGCGAGTCTAGCTTGCGTCACGAACTCTCATCAAACAGTCTCTCTGATGGGTGATGGATAAATTGATGCAGGATTGTCAAAAGATCTGATAAGCTGTTGGAGTGGCCACTATTTTCCAACACTTATAAAAAATGGCATTTATTTTTGAATGCAGAACAGAATTTCCAAATGTAGACTTGAGTATATATGTACAACTCTGATAGTTTTATTTTCTACAATAGCATGAAATCACGACTCTTCAGTTGGTAATTAGGGTTTTTAGTGACTTAGAGGGTTGACACATGTACATGAATTTATTTGTATCTATATGTTAAAGAACAAATGAATATTTACTCCTTTCACAAAAAAGGGAGTAAAATCTGAGCTTTTTCTATTCTTTAACAGTACATGTACTAGTCTGGACCAAGGAGTATGGTTGATGCGTTAAGACTTGCTCTCTAAATCTCATGCTATATGTACTCCTGGATAAAACTCTAATCATCATGATTTCATGCATGTGTACCACTGCCATCATGGCTTTTAGTTTTGTATTTTTGTATTTGGAATATATGTATTACCGGTATGATAAATGCAGCTGAATGAATGTTAATTTGATATGACTGCTTTGTATAAAGATGACATTTTTTTTTTAGGTTTGAAACCTATGTTTAGCTATTTTCCCCTAAATCTAGTCAGGAAGAACAAATGAATGTCTTGTTCTCTGCAACTTTTGTATTCTTTTTACTAGTGCTATTACTTTGAGTTAGTATTTGTAAAGACATGTAAATACATTGTAAATGCATTTACATTTGATATTTTAACAGTGAAAATTCACTGTAAATGGGAATAACTGTCTAAGTTATTGGTTTCATGATTTGATAAATTGAGTGGCTTTCAGGATAATTTGCATATGTTTATGAAATTATCACACAAGCCAAATGATTGTTTATTGTCATGAAACCAAAAAAGCTGACAAACCCCGCTTCTGTCTCTTATTTGTCCCACTCTGCACATGATTTGTCTAAACACGCCTTTCGATGAACCAGTAGATTTATGTATTACTATTTGTAATTTTATCTCGGACAAGGACTTTGGAAATGTAAATAATTTGGATATACATGTATGCATTTATATTTTATCATTTTTATACAGCATCCACTGTGAAAGTATATGAATTTTTACCTATTACATGTATATACACGTGATACAGTGGACATGGTAAATGTGTAATTTTTTTTACTATTGATTTCCACTTTAAGGACCACATGTACATATAAGCTTTGGAACTAATGGCTAATTCGATATCATTCTAGAGGTTTACTGGTAAATTAATTTTATTGAAAAAATACCAGTTTTCCACTTTACAAATGTACTTCATTAAGTGTTAATACATGTAATATCACTTTGACATATGTGTTGCTTACTGTCTATATTTAAAGCTTAAAGATGTTATTTTTAAAACTCTAGTGCACTATACATGATTGGACTTGATTTGAATTAATATAGGACAATTGCCCTAAATTTTGATTGGATAATCTATGTAAATGTACATTTACAGTTTTGTTTTATCATCAACAAAGTATTTAGCCAAGAAAAATATTTTTCAAAATAATCCCAGTGTGCTTGTATTTTTGGTATTGAAGTACACTGGTACATGTACTACAAAATTATTGACTGAAGCTAGTGAATTAACTTGTCACATTTAATTTTGTTTAGAAAATTGAATCTTTTGTCGGTTGATATTACAGTCTCTATATTTTAAAATTGTTTGCCAAATAGAAATTGTTATGAACTGAATTTAGTTTTAATGATACCAATGCAAATGTGCCAAAATATATCAAACTGTCTTTGATATTTGTTATTTTTTCAATATTTGATCGGCTGTTGTTTGATATAGTTTCACTGTTTATTGTGAAACTGATTTAGCATTATTGTGCTGTATGTGTTACATATTGCTGCATTTTTTATATACTAATATGTTTAATTCAATTCAAATTATAGTATTCATGCCATGGTTTTTATTATAAAAACATGCATGAACATTGTTTTTGAAGGTAACATTTAGATCATTAAATATGACAAGAAAAAAGGATGAATATATTTTTTTTATGAGAAGTTGGCTGTGAGCATGCAAAGTTACATTGAATAAGAAACTGTGATTAAGAATTGAATCTAATTTTTAATTTCCTCCAAATTGGAAAGATGGTATTAATGTAGTTTCGCAACTCCTGGCTCTATTAACGTTTTCATAAACATGTAATTGATATTCTTGAATTTTATATTGCTAAAGAACAGAATTACTTGTTTTACATATTTGCCAGGCACATTTTCTATGTTAAAATGAATTCACTCATAAATAAATATTGTAACAATGTTGTGTATATTTTGATTATTGAATTAAAAATCTCTCAGTTGTTCTGGATTGAAATTATTATCAATTAATGTATAAATTTGCAGCTAAACAAAAAGACTGTATACTGCTTCCAACCTCCGCGCAGCTTGGTTGTATTTGCTGTGTTCAAGTTAATTCCCACAGACTTTAAATATATCAACAATAGGTTTTCTAGCTACATATGAAATCTGAAATATCCATAATCATGATAACAGATAAATAATCTTCATACCATGTTAAAAATGCATAAAACTTTAATGGTTATACCAATTAACCAAACTGCTTAATTTAATGGATAAATGCCAACATTGGCAATATTTTTTTATTTTTATTTTTCTATAAATTTACTTCAATATGATCAGAATCTAGGAAATGATATGGGGATAAAATGTTAAAACATTTTTCAGAGTTGGCAGTACAAGATTTACTGCCTTCCTTGAAATACCATCCAGTATTTGTAATGAAACATTTACTTCGGATTTATCAGTTGATCGTAGTGTAACAAAAGTCTGTTTTTTCCCAATGAAAAGTTTCATGTATGTCTTTTAAGTGATTGTGTTATTTAATTCATCTCGGGATCGATATTCAGCATCGAATCTTCGTACGAGTTATCTAGCACCGGCAAACCGCGCGAAGTTGAAAATGTACAAAAATATCAAAAAACTAAGTAAGAAAGGTTTAGTTGCAATTAAAATCAAAACGAAGAATATTTGAAAATGCAGTAGATCCAGTAAGTATTTTTAAATGTACACAGAAGTTGTTTTATGTCAATTCCCTGATGGAAACATTAATTTCGTCTTGCATTTGCCAAGTCAATGTGACAAGTGGCAGTTTAGGTCATTCTGTGATTCTTAACATCATAAAATGTCATTTTCGATCAAAGACCAGAAAAGAATGTGACAATTTCAATGTTTGATTGTTTTTATTGTGTTCAGAGGTTATTAAACAAATTCAATGTTTCATAATATTTAAGGAATGGAATTAAATAGCTATCCGTTATATTGTATAACATGAGCGTGAGGTAGAACAGTTTACGCTTTATAAACATTAAGTCTTATAAATTATAACCCATAAACTCTTATAACGGGAACCAGTATAACTGTGGTAGCAATTAAATTTGTTCCTTCTAATTTGATTTTCCATCATTAAGTGTAAACAATAAGTCATTTTTCTGTTCAAAATGCCTTCAAAATGAGCAAATTTTAAAAGTAAAGTAAGGGGGAATGCTATTTTCTAACATAAGTCATTGTGATGTAGGCAACAAACATATGTTATACCATATAAACTAAATGTTTTGTCTGATCAAATGACTTGTTACAACCAGAATTAAATTGTAGATGTTTCAGTAAATGACGTATTGGTTACCTGAAGAGAAATCTGGCTGCAATTTTCTCCTGTCAAATTATGATAGAGCATGGTTAAAATAGATGGGGTCTAGTGTGACTCAGGTAGGCATTGTGGCCCCCTGGGCATCTTATTGTGCAAAAATGTCAAAGCTCTTTTGAAAACTAATTTTGCTCTCTGTTTGGTTACTAGGGATATTGGTCCTATAAGGACATTTTTAAACTTCTATTTATAGTTGTTCAGATTTTTTTTTATCTAGAAAATCAGCACTCTGTTTTTTTTTTTCTGACATCGATATAAATCTGTAGTATTATTAACAAGCTAATTCAAAGGGTGAAACAATACGCCTCCTTCATGGTTTTATATGTATTGAATGATTTTGTCTCGGTAAGGTTATTTTCAAAACAATACATTTTGATATAAACATTTTGTTGGAAACAAATTTTCTTTTCTAAATCTAGTCACATAATATACGTGCAAAATAACAAGAAGAAATTGATAAGCTTCTGTGGTTCTGGAGAAGAAGTAGAAAATGTAAAAAGTTTATAGACGTACGGACAGAGAGACAAACTACAGAAAAATGTGATCAAAAAAGCTCACCTGAGTTGAAAGTATTACAGACGAACAGAAATACAGACAGATGGATATACAGACAGTCAAAATTAATATCCTCAAACTTTAAGTGAAAATTTGGAACAAAATATGATGTTGATTGTTAAAAAAAATTTAAAAATGGTGCAACAGCTGCCCAACTTCACGTGATCACATGAACAGCGCTTCCTTAATACAAATGCCAGACCTAACATTTAATAGCTTAGTTAGACTTGACTTATGTTGAACCCTGTATGGTCAACCTTTTCTCAATTTTTTTTTATTTTACTATGATATAGGCTAAAAAAAAGAGGTAACGTTACTATGCAGTCACAAAGAGAGCTAAGTTCATTTCCTATTGCCCCAGCGCACAAAGCCAAGCTTACAACAGCAGGATTTCTTGTCCTGGAGGATCTAAAAAGCTTGAAACCCTCTGAATTAAGCAAAGGTGAGTAGATATGCTTCATGTAACTTTTTTTTCAAAAGCAAAGGTCAGTAGATATGTTCAAGTTTTTCCATTCCCAAGTAACTATAAGTCCTACCTGGACCAAACTTGCATGGATGATCATCTAGGGATTCTACTAATTTTGCAGCAGTCAAATCATCTGTATTTTCAAATTTTTAGAAAATTAATGCTTTTTCATTTTTTAGTGATTTTTCCCAATAAACTATAAGACCTAACTGGACCAAACTTGCATGGATAATGTGTTTTACATTTTCCAAACAAGTGACCAGGTTAAAGTTTTTGGAACAGGTCAATCCTCAAAGAACTTTAAGACCTGTTTAAACAGAACTTGCTTGAATATGGTTGTCAGAATAAATACAAACTGGTAAAAAAAAATATGATGTGAGATTTGCATTACATGTACTTAAACTGATAACATTCGTCGAGGTGAGCTTCGTAATCTTTGATTACCTATGTTTTTAAGATATTAAAGTTTATTGATGTAATCACAAGATCTTTTAATTTGTAATGTGAGAAAGTTTTCAAAGAAATCCTATTGTTTTCACCAGGATCACAGTTCAACCATGTTAATTACTGTAAACCAACTTCTATTCGACATGATGCAAGCCATTTATTTAATAGTTATTTAATGCAAAATATTCCTTTCAATGAAGCAAGTGGAAAGAATGCTTGATCTATTATTAAAATATCTTATAATTGTAAATTGATATATCCCGTTGACATAGAAAATTGCAAGTGGATTTCCAATTGATGAATTGCAAATAAAAACAGTTATGAACAAGAGTCAATTTACAGTAGATTTATTCAAAGGCAGATGAAGACGTGCATCCTTGTCTGTTAGCCCACTGTAATAAATTGTCATTTTAAATGAAATTAATACACTAGCATTTTAAACTTTTACAAATTCTTTTTAAATAGAGAAAGTAAAAGTGTTTATACTTGCATGCTTTGATATTAACATTGACAGAAACTGGGAAACATCTACCCCATATTTACAAAATTTTAATTTTATGAATATTGTGCGTATTTCGTTAAACATTTAAACACTCTGTTTTAATATTCTATTATATGAATGTTAAATATTTATTTTATATAAACTGTTTTAACTCCGCAGAAATGCAGGACGAGATTTTGAAATTAGATTTATTCAAAGGCATGAAAGCTACTTAATAATTACCATAAATGCAAAATTTAACTTTTGCATGCAAAAACAATGCAGCTAAATGGAGGAGAGTTTGGCCCAGCGGAGAAGTTAGAAAGATTAAAGGAAGAGCAGTCCTTGCCCTCAATCATCACTTTCTCACAGAGTCTGGATGAGATGCTGGGAGGGGGTATTCCTCTGTGTAAAATCACAGAGTTCTGCGGTGCTCCTGGTGTTGGTAAAACACAAATGTGGTAAGTCTTTATCAAACTATGAGTAACCAATAAGGAGTAGTTATTTAGTAAAGTTAAGTCTAAATGTTGGTATAACTGAGAATACGATTCTTTTGTGAAAAGCTATTTTAACTTGGACCATCTTTAATTTATAGCATGCCTTGGTCGTCATGATTATGCAATGTAAATTGCTCTATAACCGGTCATTTACATTAATATGATAAAATTTTTATAATTCGTTGCAACAATTTGTGAAATAATGTCAAAAACTTGAAAGAGAAACAAAAAAAAAGCTACAAAAGCATTGGCTTATCTGTTGATATCAAATGTCTCCCCTTGTGAAGGAGAATCGGACTGCTATTTCCTCTCAATATTCATGATTTTTCAAATTTAATTCTCTGTCACAATTGCAGCATGCAAATAGCGGTGGATGTTCAAATTCCTGAACATTTTGGCGGATTAGAGGGGGAGGCAGTCTACATTGATACAGAGGGGAGTTTTATTGTGGAGAGGCTGATGGACATCTCAAAAGCTACTGTGGATCATTGTCAGGAAATGGCCAGACAAGAAGGAATGAAAGGTATCAGAAACATTACTGTCAGGAAATGGCTAGACAAGAGGGCTAATACATAACACAAACCTAACTTAGGAAAATGTACACTGAAGAGTTGTTTTTCTGACTGAAGATTATCATTCTAGCTACAAATGTATTTTGTGTTCAAAGACCAGTAAGCAATTTATAAGAAATCTAATTATACCCCCCGCAAACAAAGTCTGGGGGGTATATAGGAATCACCTTGTCCATCTGTCCGTCCATCTGTCTAGCTGTCTGCCCGTCTGTCTGTGCAAACGTGTCTGGTCCATATCTTTCTTACAGAGGGACATTAGAATCTACTACTCCACACAAAGATTGCCCATGACCCAAGGGTGTGTCATGACCTTGACCCAAGGTCATTTGGGGAGGTTCAAGGTCACTGGAAGAAAAATTTCATAATTCGTGTCCAGTCCATATCTTTCTTATGGATAAACTTGGTAGGTTCTCATTTCACACAAAGAATGCCCATAACCCAAGGATGTGTCATGACCTTGACCCAAGGTCATTTGGGGAAGTTCAAGGTCATTGGAAGAAAAATTTCATAATTCGTGTCCGGTCCATATCTTTCTTATGGATAAACTTGGTAGGTTCTCATTTCACACAAAGATTGCCCATAGCTCAAGGGTGTGTCATGACCTTGACCCAAGGGTCATTTGGGAAGGTCAAGGTCACTGGAAGAAAAATTTCATAATTCGTGTCCGGTCCATATCTTTCTTATGGAAAAACTTGCTACTGAAAAACCCAGCGGGGGGTATTTTGTCCCGTTTGGACAGTTCTAGTTATACCCTGGTAAACTGGTTTTTACAGGAGACAACATGACGGTGGATTCTGTGCTGTCCCGGGTCCACTACTACAGATGTCATGATTACGTAGAGCTCCTGGCAACAGTGCACCTCTTACCAGAGTTTATTAAACAACATCCAAAAGTAAGTTTCTGACATACAAGTTTTAGACTTCCAAATACATGTAGTTCCATGAGAGAGTGTTAGACTTCCTTTGCCTTAATTGTAAATACATGTATTTGTAAGTGAAATGTCTATTGAACATCATGTAATATTGTTATAAACAATGGACCATCGACTTTACATTATTTTTATATTGTTTTAAAATGTATAAAGGTAGAGATAAAATGTATAAAGGTAGAGATAAGGAGAATTTTCCTTTGTCTTTCAGGTTAGAGTTGTACTTGTAGACAGTGTTGCTTTCCATTTCCGACACGACTTTGATGATTTGTCTCTCAGGACAAGGCTACTTACAGCGATGGCTCAAAGTTTTATTAAACTCGCAACTGAGTTAAAAATTGCAGTAAGTATTTTGTATCCATATATAAAGTAGATGATTATATGCCTAGGAGTATGACTGTACATAAAATCCATTTGAGTACGTACGTGTATTTTAGACAAGTGAGAATTGTTGTAATCCAGAATCATAGCTAGTTTATACTTGACAGAATGTTGCTTCTATTCAGAGAGTGTTTCATAATTCTGAATTCATGAAATCTATCATCCCCTTGGTTCAGTGCAACATAGCTGATAATCTTCAGAAATAAACAGAGTATAAAATACATGCCCCCTTGAATCAGAATTTGAGCCAAAGATTGGAGCTTATTTGAGAAACTGATACTTAATGGGCATGCAAGTTTTAGTTGGAACAAAAAATGTATGAATTCCAGGTAGTTTTAACCAATCAGATGACAACAAAGCTGAGTCCGGGAGAAGATTCCCGCCTTGTCCCGGCCCTGGGTGAGAGCTGGGGACACGCTAGTACAATTCGTGTAATCTTGTACTGGGAGGCCCAGAAGAGATGGGCGTGGCTCTACAAGTCCCCCAATAAAGAAGAAACCAGAGTGCCATACCAAATCACAGTAAGTTGTCTTTGATTACTGTATACTGTGAGGGAAATATTCACCCCGTTTTATTTTCGCCCCTTTCGCCCTAACATTGTTTGGGTGAATTTGAAAAGGGGCGAATTCAAAATTTACAATATATTTTCTTAAACAAAACGGTGACTGGGCGAATTTAAAACGGGGCAAAATTGATTGCAAGTGTGAAAGGGCGAAAATAAAACGGGGCAAAAATAACCCTGTATACAGTATTATTATCTCTGAACTAAAAAATAATGTGTGGATGGACAGTAGAGATTACAGAAGACAGACGTGATGACCACTTATGCCCAGGCCATATTCATGGTGGGGTATAAAAATGAAGCTTCAAAGCACTATTTTCAAACATGTATGTATATGTACTGGTATTAATTGTGTTAAAGTATTAAGTAAGTGAAATTCTCTGTACATATTACAGATGGGTGGAGTGAGAGATATAGTGACCCCCACAGCTGACAGAACAACAGAACAGAGCAGTGAAGAACCATCTTCCAAACGACAGAAGGTTAGCTGATCAAGACTTCACAGTATTACTGTATAAGATTGCAGAAAGTCTTAACCACTGATAAAAGTACCGGAATTGTACTGTGAAGACTGTAGAGGAAGATTATTGTGCCTATTGACTTCTCTGTAATGTAGATTAAATTAAAAAAAAAAATAAATCAAAAGTACATATAACTGTATGGAAAAGAAACATATTTCAATTTTGTCTCAAAGATTGTAAGGCAAATAAATCAAATAAGAAGATCTTTCCACTTTAATTATAAGAATTAAATGTTATATAGATTATATTTTAGCAGCTTCTTCATATAATGCAACTACAGATTTATTCAATTATTGGCCTCTGAAACAAAGACATGGGCACAATATGATGTAAAAAAAGTTTAACACCTATTAATATATGAAGTCTTTAGAAATCTTTTTCTAGAGAAGGGGGCATTTCATTATATTGGTATTCAGTCATCTCTGTGGAATACATTCTTTTTTAACTATTGCATACTAAAGTCGATCCATCAGTTGGAGGGAAAAATTTCTAAAATGCATATATATAGAGACCCAAGAATAAGATAGCTACAATGTGTTTAATTTGATATCGAACCTCTATGAATTGTGCATATAAAAAGCTGGCATCATGAACTTGGATGTGCAGAGAACTTAAAGAAGCCAGCTCATTATATCTATAGTATTCACCTATTCATTTTTCAGTAAGAGAATGTTGACTCTAGTGAGCATTATAGTAGTTCTTGTTCTGTTCATTTGATTGTTTGTTTATGGCTTTGTTGAATAAAAAATATAGAATCTACACAATATCATATTTATTAATATTTAAACATGAAATCAAATACAAAAAAAAAAAACATCCAACAGTCAACAATATTAAAATGAGACTACTTTTTCTTGCCCTTGGCAGAGCCCCGCCCCCCTTTTCCAGACTTGTTCCCTCCACCCTCAGCAATGTCTATCTTTTTATTAAGGGATTCTTCGGTAACCTTTAGCTGTTCTTCAACGGATAGTTTCATTTTCTTAATTTCATCAGATAAGTAGCTCTGCACCATTGCCCTTAATTCCTTGCGAGCTTTGGATTCTTCTAAAAATTCAAAATAGATACAGTGAAAAATATATATTAAGACACAATAATTTAATTGACAAGGATATATTATTACATGTACTGATTTAAAGAGCTGTAAATTATGTCAACAGTTGCAGATGATCAGATGAAAGATATTATTTTTAAGGGTAAAGTTTGTTGATTTGCATCTTTTCAACCAACTATACTAGGAAGAATTGAGAAAAAAAAACGAAGTATAATATGTGTGAATTAACAAAATGAAATATTTCCTTGTTTGCATAGTGTGAATTTGAATGTTTAGTGGTAAATTGTAGTGTTGACTTATCTATGACACTAAGACTTTTGCATGTACAGTGGGATTTGTAAAATGACAGCCTTTTGAGACAATAATGGCCATGTTCCCGTGAGTTCCGTTACCTGGTTCTGGTGACTTGGGTTGTGCGGGAGGTTCCTCGGTTGGCTCCGGTTCTGCTGGCTCCGGGGCCTCCTCTGTAGCTAGATCATCCTCAGCCGGGGCCTCGGCAGCTGTCAATCAAAAACAAGGCCACTCATTACACTAATTATTAAATCAGAACACAAAACCAGGCCAGTCATTACACTAATAATTAAATCAGAACACAACACAAGGCCAGTCATTACATTAATTAAATCAGAACACAAAACAAGGCCACTCATTACACTAATAATTAAATCGGAACACAAAACAAGGCAAGTCATTACACTAATAAATAAATAAGAACACATCTTTGGTATGAAAACCAATTAATTTACTTCTGGAATGAAAATTTTAATTCCAAGATGTAAAGTAATGAAATTGAAAATGTATTTGAAAGAAGTCTTTAGTTAAATCTATCATACTTTCAGATGGGGGTGGGGTCTCAGGCATTCCTGTGTAAGTCAAAGAGAGGTCAAGTCGAACCTGAAAGAACAAATGGTAATGAATTCATTGACAGGATTTCTAAATTACTTTATGGAATTAAACAAAGTATGCTGAAGGTTTAGACGTACCAGAGGTGTGAAGGCATACTTGTACATCTTGAAGTGTCTGAAGTAAGTGTTGACGGTGTACTCGGTGATTTTACGGATTTCATCTGGTGTAAATAATTCAATGCTGTGTGGGGGTCTCTAACAAGAACAAAATGTGAAATAATTAAACCAAGACTATTCAAGGAAGATAAAAGTATAAAATACTGTTGACAGTTGTGTCTTTGTAAATATTTTCTCCATTCTTACATTGACAGCATGACAGAGGAGTAGGTCTTTGAAATAGTTGAATGTCTCATCTAAATTTCCAAATGGTGTCTCTGAAAATAAATTTTAGACTTTAGAATATTTTTATTTCAAATTTTTAATGCTTATGAAAACAATTATCAGCAGAAAAATAGAATTTTTGGGTTTTCTTTGCATGTTATATTTTTATTTAGCAATATTGCTCAGCTGCTCTGTACAGGTTTTTACCAGGGTTGGAATGTTTTAACATATATCCGTTTTAAAATAATTTTAACATTACATTTAATCATTATAAATTAAAAGAGCTACCATAGAATTTGTCTGATAGAATATCATAAAGCCAGAAAATTCTTACCTATGCACACTTCATGTGTTTTCTTAACAATAGAGAAGAATGCTGATGTTTTTTCTTTGGTGAAGTTGTTGTCCCTGGCAAACTGCAGAGTGTAGAAGTACAGGTCCATAATGATTCCTGTCTTCAGATTCTCCTTGTGGTCATCCAAATTGAATACATCAGCCAGCACTCTGTAATATATCACGAACATAATGCACAGTTGAAGCTGATTACCTTGATATTTAAATATAAAAATTTGCTTAGAACTGTCTGGTCTGTATGTGGTTAGAATAATCTTGTTTTTTTTGTGTTTTTTTTTGTAGACGACTATAAAGGGGGGGGGGATGGATAAAATATGCAGATTAGTCCATAGATAAACCTGAGGTTGATGGGACCGATGCTAGAAAAAGGAGAAACTATTTTGACAGTATCATTTTAAAGATGATTTTTTTGTTTATGACAAAATGAATAAAAATTGAAATAATAAATAAAGGATAAACCTAAAGAAAAAGTTAGAAAATTTCCAAATAAAGTTCAAAATCCAGAAAGTTTGAAAAACCAAAATAAAAGTTGGAAAATCAAATTTACAAAAAAAATGTGGTACTAATTAACACTTGCATATTTTCTAGAACTTACTGTTTAATATGATCAGCATTCAGTGATTCAATAATTCTGTCAACATCATTCACAGTCAAGTCAGACCTGAAAAATATCACTTTAACAATATTATTTGCTTCTTAATTTCAAATTATGGATTGTACATTTATAGTAAAATATTTACATTATACATTTTTTGCCTATAAATTGAATGGAAATGTAATGCAAAATTGGCTCGATTGTACCCTAAACAGAACTTGGCCTGGGTATTCTTATGATATTATTATTACATGTATTATTCATTTCAGTATAAGCAATCTCTTCATAGAAAATGAAAGGAAACTGCAAATAATTTGAATTTTTCTAAGTCCAATGGGGAACCAATTTTCTCTCTCATGAGTGTCAAACCAAAATGGCTGGATCATTTCAATACCCAAAATAGAACGAAAATTGAGGTAGTGAATTGAATATTATTCTAAATCTGTATACCAAATTTCATTTCAATATGTGCAACCTCTGCAAAGATTATGAACGGAAACTGATGAGGGACCAACAGACCGACCACTGACTGACAGACAGACAGCAGCAAAGCAATATGCCCTCCGAAAAAATATATATTGACAAAGGGAGAGCATACATGCCAAATAATAATATATAATTCATGTGCTGTATTTATTTCTCTATGTTTTTAAAAGTGTCATCTCAAAATATTACTGGCCCTGAAATTGTGCACACTTTTTTTTCAAATTGTAGAAACTTTTGCTTTGGATGTTTTTATATTAAAAAATTACTATGATTTCTTTTGAAAAAAAAATGGGTAATTCTGATATATTTTTTGGGAGAGCAAGTCAATTATCAAAATTGTTAAAATAACCTTACAAGTAAAATGAAAAAAAAAATCAATTCTTACCAAACACAAACTTTTGCTTTGTGACTTCTTGGCTGTAAAACAAGAAAAATAATCATGTGTACATCATTATATATTATTCAATTTTTGCATACAGCGTGAGTGATGCAGTAATCGATTTCATCTTTCAAAAAATGACCAAGTGAAATGACATTTAACACCAAGTTTAGGATAGAATTTGAGCTGAAACTCCTTCTAGCAAAGCATATTTGCTTACCTGTATTAGTTTTGGCACTTCGCTTGGGCCTTCTGTATTTTCACTCAATAGCATTGTCAGGCCAGTAGGGTGTTAAAGCCAAAAAATGGTATAATTCTCAAATATATTTCATATATTTATTGTTGCTATGGGATGACTCGAAGTCTTCATGTGTACACCACACCCGATCAAATATTCATCGAGGGCAATCGTGTTTGATAAATCTGTATACCAAATTTCATTTTAATATGTGCAGTCTCTGCAAAGACAACAGACAAATACTGCAAATAATTGAAATTTTTCTAAGTCCTAGGGGCATAACTTTGTCCAAAATGGTGATTACCAAAATACACGCACGCGATATCCTTTAGTATCACGTATACCAAATTTCACACAGCCTCTGTGAAGAAGAAAGCGATAATGGCGGATGCAAGCCGTAAGTATTTCCATTTAGAAAATATATATGCTACTAAGATCTCTGCATGGATTAAAGGATTGACTATATATTATGGAAAATAGATAGCATAACATTTTAACTATACATAAAGCAAACAATATTTTCACTTTGGTATATTACATTTTGTATCCTATGATAATGCTTGGACTGGGGCCATGTGCTGCAAAAAAAAATATAGATTAAGAGTATGATTTAGGCCTAATAGATGATTTATTTTTTTTCAGAATACAGTTATTCTACAGCCGCTGGCGGGTGAGTCTTTTAATAATTATTTAAATTCTTAAGGACAATGCTCGCATGAAAAGACTTAAGTAAATTTAAAAAAAAGCTTTTTGTCTTCAAATCTTCTCATTGACTGGACATTTTTAAATCATCAAAATTTAGATTTGGCTCTTGGTACAGTCCGTAACAGAGCTTTTATATAGTTGCATGAAATAATTTAGCGCAGATCCACTCCGAAAATAATTTGAACAACCGCAACAGGTTGAGCACTATTCCCTTTAGTTTCTGTTATGCTGAAATAGAATTTGTTCCTCTTTTCAGTAGTTAAAAACATTTCTGTGTGCAGGAATTTTCACATGTTAACCCTCAAGCCTAGCTCTGACATTTTCTGAATAAATAACGATGTGTAAATGCAATCCACTGCTTTGATGAATGCTCAAGCCATGTATCTTCTGAGCAATTTAGATGTTTATGTTTAGTATTTAAAAAAGTTAATAGAATATTGACCATTAAACATGACTTTCTTTATTGCTGTTGAATTATTCTGTAGCTATGGTGGATATGGTGGTCAGTCTACAGATGCTAGTGCTTATGGACAGCAGCCAGGTGGAACATATGGACAAACGGTAAGATTTTACCATCAAATTAATTAATAGCCATTTTATTGATATGTTCTTCTATGTAAAGAACAGGTAAAGTTAAGTAAAAATTACATTTTACAGGCAACTCAAGGATATCAACAGCAAGGTTACACAGGTTATGACCAAAGTGCTTATGGACAGCAAGCTGGACAGACTGCAGGAGCTCAGAGTGCAAGCTATGGACAGCAGCCCGCAGCCCAGGGGTCGTATGATTCCTCAGGGGGATACGGGGGCCAACAGCAGTATGGCCAGCAGCAACAGAGTGGATACGGACAACAAGGAGGTCAGTTCTCATTGAAGCCTTCTTGTCTGGTTAACAGTAGTAGTCTTAGTATTTGTTGCTGCTTGTATGTTGTACATTACATCAATGGTTTTACAGCTGGACAAACTGCTCAAAATTATGCATCATATGTTCAACAAGGAGGTAATTTTTAATTATTTGTTTCTTGACAACAAGGTTTGGGTTACTGCTATTTAATCTGTATCCTTTGTCAGAGTTATAGTCATTTTATTATTATGAGCTTGGTGATAAGATTCAAAGGTCTGTTATGTATTTCCCTTTCCTTTGGACTGGATGGTTCACTATGTCAAGTTTTTTGAACATGTGAATGAGAAAGGTTTTGCATGCACAGGCATTATACATGTATATTGTTTTGTTTTTTTTTTTTACCTGAATGTAAATTTACATGTTACTTTTTAATTTTACTGATTTGTTTTCTAAAGTTTTTTTTTAATTTCATTTATTTCATACTTTATTGTATAGAAATAAAGAGCATGGCAAGTTTGTAATAAAAGAAGTTAAGTTAAGCAATCATGAAAATTATTCTTTGAATTTGCTGAGGAAGAGTCTTTATGCAATCCACAAAAAACGAAACAAACTAAAGTCCAGAGACAGAAATTTAAATAATTTGAATATCTATATGGAATTATGGATATCCCTTATGGATATATGTATATGCAGTGCAAGTAAATGTTGCAAGATAAGATATGCTGTAATTTTTACATTTGAAGTTTGTTAAGTTTGGTACAGGTAACTCAAGTTACCTCGAAGTCCGCGGGACCAAGGGAAAACTTCGAGAGATCAAGAGTTCGAGTTTTCAAGAGTCCAGAATTTGACAGGTTTTTATTTGACAGGTTTTAAAATTAGTCTTACCGGATGTTATGATTTTCATGCAGTGCTAACATTTCACACGTGCACACATCGTTATAAAACAACGATATGTTTTCGTATTTTAGATGAATCAGTAAAGCAAAAAATGTATATCGTCAGTTCATGTTTATTTATTTATTCTTTATCATACAGACATCATATGTTATATGAAAACGATATTTTACCAGCGTCGCGTGGTACAATGTACATAGCATTGTGACTTTTCCAAACATATGCATTGAACGAAGTTCTGTAAGTATTTGTCCAACAATAGTCGTCATATTGACACTGAGGCTTTTTCTGAATATTCATATTTCATTAAACTTTTACACTGATTAGAAATAAAAATTTTATTATGCCTGTCGTCTTGTAATCTGCAATTACAATTTCTCAGTGACACTGCGTTTCTAAATTATCGTAATACAGTCAATAATAATTATTTAACTCTTTTCCCCTTAGACCTTTCCCTCCTTTACCCCTTAATGACGACTTGACACCTAGGCCCCAACCCTTAATGACAACTTTTGTATTTCATTGTTGATTTGACTTGAAATTACCGCTTGTTTACAAATTATCAGAGCACAGGTGGCACCTGCAGGTTAACAATAGATGATTGCATCATACTACAGTGAGAAATCACGTGATTTACCTGTGTAAACAAACAATAGCATCTTGGAAAGTCCCACCAAAATTCAAAATGGCGGACTGTTACATACGGTGTTTTTTGAGCATATAACTCGATAAATACGCAATATTTTTTCATCAAGCTTTAAAGTACCTATTTCTTAAAAGGTTTGAAAATTATAATGATCTATTTGTGTAATATACTCCAACAAAAGATATGAAAATTTTGTAAAGTTCGGGACAGCGCAGTGCCGATTTCGTTACCTGTTTCTCACAAATTCAGAAGATACCTTCCATATTACACATATTTATAAATGCAAAGGTGTAGAAAATAATTATTTTCATAGAATTGGGTCATTAAAGTGTCCAAAAACGTTCAGAAATCAAGTTTTAGGACGCAAGTCTGAAAATTTGTTGGCGAGATTGACATTGAAGAAGCACTACAATTTATAGATTTCTGAGGAATTAAACTTATAAAAAATGATAATAAATAATAATTTAACCATCAATTATATCATCAAACATATTTTTAAATTATTTATACAGACAATTTTGGCTTATTAAAGCCGTTTTACATGTTGAAAATATCTTTTTTTCTATTTTCACCTGAATTATTTTGTAACAGAAAACTACGATCGAAATTATGTAAATAGATTTGAAAAATTTAATTTATTATGAATCCAATGATATATGATACATAGTATAAGTGAAATATTTTGACCCTTCTTTGTTCAGTTTTAAACTGCACTCCAATTCATCTAAACCGCTCTAAGGGGCAGCCAGGCAAACACTCTAAGGATATGGCCAGTGGGTCAAATCGTGGCATTAAGGGGTAAAGAGTTAATAGCATATAGGCATCATAAGATTAATTATAATTCAATTATCACCTGACGGTATTAGTGTCACCTTAATAAACATCCCGTTTCATGAGACGCGCGTCTTCTGCCTGGGGCCATTAAATGTCCAGGTTAACTTGCTAATTATGTAACTTTGTATAAACATAGCCACTTCGAGGTAAATTTCAATAGAATATGCATAGTAAGACCACTTTTTTACTTCAAGGGATCAAGGGTTTCGAGAGATCAAAAGTTCGAGAAATCAAGAGTAAATTTGCTTAGTTATATAGTGGAAAAAATCGGGACTGGAGACTCACTTCGAGAGATCGAAGTACAAGCCATCAAGAGTTACCTGTATTAAGAATTAAAAAAACAACACATTTGTAAGAAGCACACTTGAGCTTCAGTGTTTTTCATTAGAAGCTTGTGCATTATTCATTACCATGTGCAGAAATGAATGTCTGAAATAGGAAGACTGTAGGAAGACGGAACACTCTTTTAAAAGTTGCGTGTAATGACACAAGTTTTTCTATGGAATTTTAGGTTATCAGACCCAATCACAAGGTGGAGCAGGGTCATATGGTGGACAGAGTGGGGGCTATGGCCAACAAAGTGGAGGTAAGTCACCCCAAATCAGGTAACGTACAAAACAAGATCACACCAAAAAACACTAGGGGTTAAAAATGCACGGCACTCGTTGGGTTTGTATAATTCTGTCTTGGAAAAGATGAATAGAGTAATATGATCCGGTTTTATAGTTTATTCCTTAGTCTCCTGGGGATATAACTAAAGACCTTGTAATACTTACAGGTTATCAGGCCCAAGCTTCGGGTGGTGGGGGATATGGTCAACAGAGTGGGGGTCAGACCGGCAGCTATGGAGGGGGACCACAGTCAGGGGGTGGTGGTTATGGTGGAGGAAGTTATGGATCTCAAGATAACTACAGACAAGACAGGGGCGGGGGATATGGTGACCGAGGGGGCATGAGAGGTAAGGAGTTAAAGATGGGATCATTGATCTAGATAATTATGAATGTGAATACTAGTGGTTAATTTGGTTTGAAAGGTTAGATATAAATAGAGTTGTAACCTTGTTTGATGGCCTTAATTGAGTGCAAGAGGTAAAACTTGCTTTTGAGCATTTCTATCAATTTGATGTGTAATCTTGTGAAGGAATTGCCATGCTTTGTATATAAGACATCTGTATTTGTTTCTTACAGGTGGTCGTGGTGGCGGACGAGATGGAGGCGGTGGATATGGGTAGGTTACTTTTCATTAGATCTATTTAGGAAGGGTAAGCGCATCATAAGCGATAATGTATTGGGAAAGAAACATTAATAGGTTTAAAAAAAAAAAAAAAAGTTTGTAACTGTTGCATGCAAGTCAAAATGGTGTAAACTTGTAATTGATATCTGTTAATTTAAATTAAGTTGCAAGGTTTAAAAAAAAAGGTGAATTCCTGAATAAGAAAAAAAAGTGTTGAACTGAAAGTAAGAAAAAAAAGTGTTTGAAAAAAAGATTTGAAGAGGTTTTGTATATGAATTGAGTGTATGTTTATGATTTAACCCATATATGCAATTTTAGAGTCTATTTCCAACAGGTGACCATAAGAATCGATGTTGACTATGTATTTTGTTGCAAAAATTTTGTGACCTTTTGAAGGTTTGGTGTAGTAAAAAGCACTCTTCTGTGCTGAATAAATTAAGGATAAAACTGGACTCGCTGGTACAGCCCGCTTCTACTAAATTTCAAGTCCCTGTCCCATTTCTACCTTCTACCGAATCTGCAGCCATTTAAATGAAATGAGTAAATAAAAGGTTCATTGTGACTCCTGTGACTTTGCAATTAAAAAGTGACAAACTTGTAAAACTGCATTTTGCTCAAAATAGCAAAAAAGTGCCATTGTTAAAATGGTGTGAACTGTGTGAATTTTAAAGGAATAGAAGCTTAAATTCACAGCACAAAATTTCCATTCATGATAAGACTTAAGATTTCTTTTGTTATATAAGCATTCAGTATTTAATGTATTGATGATAATTGATATATTTGAATTCAGTTTAATGATATCATCATGAATCACAGTCAAAATATCAAGTTAAATGATGAACAACAAGGAAAAAAAAATAAACAATGCTGTTGCATTCAAGACAAAATTTTAACATCTATTATATCTAGTTCCATTTAAAGCCAGTACATTTATATCAATTACAAATACAGTTGTGTGTTTAAAGACTAAAGATCACCCATAAGCATCACAAAGGGGTGTTGTGGTGAGGGTTTCTGAAGCTGACATAACATTTTTATGGTGTCAAGATCTTGCAGCTCGAACGTCATTGTGTTTTACATAAATTATGACATTGAAGCCAAAAAAAAAAACATTGATTAGTTTTATATGAAACTTTCTTGTTGCGTTTTGATATAAAAGAAATTCAGTTCAATTCATTTCGATAAATTTAAAGGAAAAAGCAATTTCCTTTACAACCAGATCAGTATGTTTATCTCCATTTTTGTCTTCAGCATCAACATTATGCCTTAAATAGATGTTAAAAGGTTTGAACTGTAAACTGTGATAAATATCCCTACAATATACAATTGGAGCTGTTAAGTTACCTGTTTTCAATTTAAAGAAAAGGTACCTTTATTTTCCAACAGAATATGAATTGTCCCAATTGTCGTTAAACTTAGATACTTTTATTTCTGTATTGATAAACAGGAATAAAATTGTCAACAAAACGCCAAAACAAAACATGTTTTACTAAATTGTATTTCAGTGTACATGTATAATGATTTCCATGTGTGTTGCAAATTGCCAAATTTTAATGGTCTTGACCCCTTTATCAAAAAGTGTCCTAGAATTCTGCTGTTATAAAAGTCATATTATGTTATGAACTCAAAGTAAATTCTGAATTAGTAAAATAAACTTAATATCTTTAAACTTGGCAAAAGGTTTTTTTTAGTGAGGAAAGTTTACATATTGAAGAGTGATGACTTTTGGGTCAATCCAAGAAGATGTGTCATGGTTACATTTTAATTTGTACATGTAACATAAAGCAGTTATCTTTAATAAATATGAAAGTAACCTTGCCCCGTAATGGCTGCAGAAGTAATAAGACAGTTGTAGTGTTACTTGTCCAGCGAGTCCTTGGGTATAATATATCATTTGGTTTAAAACATAGTAAAAAGAGTTTACAGGGGCAATACATGTGGCTCTGGTTGTAGTATACAAAGACTGTTGGTTATGTTGTAATGTGTTTCTTGTGTATCAAAGAAATTCCTTATATTAAAAAGGTATTTGTGAAATGTCCCATAAGTTTTAAAACCTGTTAAAATATACTGTACTTCACCATCATTAGATAAATAAAGATAAAATCTGTTGCAGAAATTCATGTACCTGCGTGATAATGAACTATGTAACTATTGATAAATTGGTCATACATATTTGGTTATGAGAAGTACATTGGTTACACATAAGTATTGGTGTATGTTCATGATCAAGTAAATTGAAAGAATAAATTTAGAAGAATATGATAATCTTACTTCATTGAGATGTACAAATGATCACAAGTTTTGTGGAAGTGCTTTCATATTTAACCAGAATTAAATGAAAAGCTACAGGTATGTTTATATAATGACACCCCCAATCCATTTCCCACAAAACATGAAATATATAAATATTTGTATTGCTTTACCATCTTAAACACCATTCTTGTGCAATAACATAAGTGATAAATATAAATAGCCCAATTATTCATATATCCATGTTTTTAAAAATGACAATTAAGGAATCACTGTCTAGTTTGTTGGGTATACCAATGCATGAATGATAGTTGGGAACGTAGAATAATTTACATAATGGGAAAAGCAACAAATGTAAATTTTAATGAATAATCATATTGGTTGTATAGTTTTGGGCAACAAGGAATATGAGATAAAGTGGATAGGAATTGTGTAGTAGTTTAAATGTAAATAAAAGAAAAAAAGAGAGAATCCATACAGAAAAAATATCCCATTTAAAAGAAACACAATTTAAAGGTTAAGTGTGTGTTGAAACCAACAAGCGAAATACAGTATACTTCCCCTGGAAATGTTGAACGTAGGGTCAACCAGAGCCACAGAGGAGTAGGGTTTTATAAACGAAACGTTAACAACATATTTATTAGAAACCTAGACCTTTGGGATTGTGTAGGGTGACTTTGCAACAGTCTACATCCTTGTCGTGGTTGAGTTAAGAAACTGCCGCGAATATGAGGCAGTGTTAGGGGTATAGACAACCAGCTACAGAGGCTCCTAGAGGACAACACTTGTCTCGACTGAGTCTGTAGATCCTACAGGCTTCAGTCGAGATAATGAACCCATGTATAATTTCAGTGGTGGTCGAGGAGGTTTCAACAAATTTGGTGGTAAGTCTGGTAACTAGGTTACCAACCACATTTTTACAGTCTCTGTTTTATGTTGTTACTTAAGAAAAGAATAACATTGTATCGGGAAGATACAGAATTGATTTGTGTTAATAGGTGAATAGCTTTAAAAAAAAACAAAACAAAACTTCCTTTCTGACCACAAACTGAGGTTGCTTGTTAAAAATATACAATGTATCACATGTGACTTCAGGTGTAATAATATATATAAAAACTTGTTTAGTATGAACACAGATATTGTGAATTCACAGAAATAGGGAAGTTATCTTTGATCCCCAGCTATTAAATTTAATTTATTCCTTATACGGATGTAAAGAATTATGGATATAGTGAAGTGATCTCATAGGTCCCATTGACTTCCTTATAACTGAGTATTACTGTAATATGGGAAAAAAAAGTATGCTGAAATGGTCATGAAGATGAACATATTTGTGGTGTCCCAGCAAAGTTTTTTCCCTCCAAAATATAACTGTTACCAAGAAATGGTACCATTCCCAATTTAAAAAAAAAGGTATCCAATACCCAGACCAAGTATTCCTAGCATAACTACTGAGAAACAGACTTATGGCTTCATGCTTTGCCAAATGTAAAACTGTATGAGTTGAAAAATAAGTTATTTCCTCTTAAATCAAAATATGTCCAGTTCATTTTCATGTAAGCAGGCTAACAGCATATATTGTAAGGGTGTGATATTGACTTCTTAAAGAAAGTTAGAAACAGGACAACTGTAAAACAACAAATATTCTTAAATTGTAGGTGTAAATTTAGAGGGAAAAAGTCGTGTTTCTATGGTAGAAAATAGTTGCCAATTGAACTGGTATTGGTACCATTACCAACTAAAACAGGAAAAATATACACAAAGAAAAGTGTAATACATTAGGAGTGTAATTATCAGGGATAGAAAGTGTATTGGTCATTGAATGAAGTGTGAAATTCAACTGTGTACAAGATCACATGTATAAAATCTACACCACTGTAAAATGTTATCTATGTGCTTATTGGGGGATTGCATGTAAAATATGATAATTTAAAACTGCATAAAGTGTGCATATACCGTATTACAAAGATGGTGATGTAAATTAGCAATGCTGGATTATTGAATGTTATGGTATGAATTCTATTCTTTATGGTATGAATTCTATTCTAAGACAGTCTATTGGATAGTAAGATTTTTTTCATTTTGAAGCACAATGATATGAAATATATAACGTAAGAAGAAAAATATTTTAGATTGATCATCTGACTAATGATGTTGTTGATTTTTTTAGGAGACCGAGGCAGGGATGACCGGGGTGGTGAGTATTTCTATTTCTACACACATTTATAAAATATGTTGAGACATAGTGTCATGTCACTATCTAAAACTTTAATTAAATGTTAAGACTTATGTTATTAATGTGTTGTTAATGTCACTTTTAGGTGGCAGTAGTGGAGATATGATGGTGATGGAAGACACCATATTTGTATCTGGCTTACCTGAAGATATTGATGAAGATGGTCTAGTGCAGCACTTTGGCAGCATTGGTGTTATTAAGGTTAGATATCATAACAAAAGACCCCAAAAGCAGGAAACCATAGATATCTGCTTGTTCATGAAAATTCTTACAACACACAGTATTTTAATCAATTTAATAATATGATTTTTTGTTAGGCTACATAAAATTGAAATTCTGGTTCTCAGGCCCGCACTCGTTCGTTTCGAGGTAGCCGCATTGCTGATTTTATTGTATTTTTGATAAAATAAAAATTTGGTATTGCGGAGACCAATCCAGAAAAAAAAATTCTTTCCTCATTTTTTATACGCCCGTCTTAAGACGGGACGTATTATGTTATAGGCTTCGTGTCCATCCGTCTGTCCGTCCGTCTGTTAGCTTTTCTCGTGTCCGGCTCATAACTTTAATACTATAAGGCCTAGAGTTATCAAACTTTGTCAGCTGAAACATCTTGGGTAGAAGGTGTGTCACGCACAAAAAGTAGGTCGCTCTGACCTATAATTAAAAAGTTATAGCCAAATATGGAAAAATCCTGTCCGGTCCATAACTAGAAAACTATTAGACTTACAATCATCAAACTTGGCCAGTTTATGCATCTTAGGTAGAAGGTGTGTCGTGACCTATTTTAAGGTCACTGTGACCTTTAATTTGAAAGGAATTTTAAAAAAAATGTCTTTTTTTTCTATTCATTTACACATTCAAAAAATGTAAAACTATTGCACTAACATTATTAGAAAAATGTTAAATCAAGAAAATACTTATTTTTTTAGCATAAACATGACAGCAATCTAATCAAATATAATGTAGGTTAGAGAAATTCCACCACTCCCATGAGTCTAATTATCAAGCACTGGTCAAGAAGAATTTTGATAACAGAAAATTGCATGTCAAATTAGAGAGAAAAATTAATGAGTTTAGTGTGAGGAGTAGCTGTCAGAGCATCGTTGCTATCTATATCCCTTGAGTATTGGGCCAAATGGGTAAGCCTGCTGGATTAAAAATAGATCTTGTTTGCCAGCCAAAGGTTTAAAATGAATTTGATGAGAAGTAATTAAAACTAATTTGATATTGCATATGAAACTATTTTGATATTACATAATATTATGAACTTAAAAATTAATTTTATGGGGGTAGTCCATATGAATTGCATATTAACAATTAACTGTCTGACATTAAATCTAAACAAAAAAAAATCATTGATGTTTTATATGTTTTAAAAATGTTTATAATGGTAGTTGTGCAGATCCATTAATCTTTTGGGAGTAATGAGTAGACAAGCATCCAGTTAAAGATTAATTAATGTGTTCAATGTAGGAAGGCTAGCTGCATGTCTGTTTCATTTCTTAAGAGCATGATTTTATCTGTATCCTTCGGGAATTAGACAGAAGAACTGTTGGTGAGTTTATATTTAATGGCCAGCCTTTTATTTCCAAAATTAATTAAGTATAAATTAAATTGTGAAGACTAATTTGATATTGTTTAATATGATAAGCATTTGGCAAGGTATAGGAATCTATGAATGATGCAATATTTGTTATAATTAATGCCTACACCACAGGGGATGGATAAACAAATTTTTTAAGGTGTGTAAAAATCATTGAAATCTTAAAATCAAGGTTGAAATGATTTTCCTGCACTTTTAACTATTTAAGATACATTGTAATTGTAATTTCTTGACGGGCGTATCATGCTGTGGCGTGGCACTTTATTCGTAGTTTAGTATTCAAATATCACTTCCGGTAGCCATTTTCAAAGAGATTTTGGCTACTTCGTTTGAAAATGCATTCGAAGACATTGCCTACTATGTTCGCACGCTGATAAGCCGTGGATAAAAAAAACATCAGACATGGAAAGTATATCTGTGATTAAAAAAATTATCTTTATTTTAAAGAAAATTCGAAAAGATTAAAAAATACCTCCCTCATCTACTTTATTGCCATTAAAGTGATAAAATGCCTCCCTCCCGCATCTGTTTTGGAGAAAATTGGCCTGAGAACCAGAGAATTAAATTTAGATAGCCTTTCTTTTTAAATGCATGCAAATTGTATGTAATATTTATTTTTCAAATAAATAAAACTTTTGAAAAAAGAACAATTTGTTCAAAAATGTGTCGATTTTAATTTCAGACTGATAAAAGGAACAATTTGTTAAAAAATGTGTCAATTTTAATTTCAGACTGATAAAAGATCAGGAAAACCTAAAGTATGGATATATAAAGACAAGAACACCGGGAGACCAAAGGGAGAAGCCACAATCACATATGATGATTCAGAGACGGCAAAGGCAGCTATTAACTGGTTTAATGGTCTGTAGTCTTTATCTAATCAATATGGTAAAATAAACTTTACATACAATGCTCAAGGTTAATTGCCAATGATTTAATTTGGATTTTGTAGAGAAGGACTTCAGTGGTAATACAATAAAGGTAGAGATTGCCACGAGGAGGATGAACACTAACTTTGGAGGAGGAAGAGGTGGGGGTGGCAGAGGAGGATTTGGCCGCGGTAAGTCCAGTGTTAAACAGGGTTTTCTTGTATCTCAGCTGAGCTGTGATTTAGATCAAACTACTTCAAAGCATAACTGGGTTGAGACAATAGTTACAGAACAAAGTTGTGGACACAGCTATAGGAATCATCATCGGAAACACACGAGACCGACTGTGGGTTTCCGACGATGATAAGAATAAGATGGCCCAACACTTAAACAGTGGATTTTGTTGCCCATTGACTTCTTTCTTATTAGGTATTCTAATTGTGGTTGAAAGTTTATCTCCTCAGTCTTTTCTAGAAATTTCTCTGAATATTTAAATGTACAAATTCAAACTCTATTACTGTGAAGACCAGTAGTATGTAAGTTGTTGTATGAATTAATCGTTTTACTTTACAGGAGGTGGTGGCGGCGGAGGCCGAGGTGGTCGCGGTGGATTTGGTGGTGGCGGAGGTGGTGGTGATGGTAAGTACATGTGTACTGACTCATTTTGAGATAAATCAGGAGTTTAATGTACATATCACAACACTTCATGACTGTAAAGTGAAATGTAATAAGTTGTCTCTCCTTTTGAAGGTGGCAGAGAAGGAGACTGGACCTGTCCTAATGAGTAAGTATTCAGCTTATGTTACTTGACCAATCTGTTAAATTATGAAAGAGTTAATCTGTCTGCTGCTTTGTGAAATCTATGATGTATTATAACAGCACACATATGGAATTCATTCGAATTCAAACTGATTTTCTTTAATAATAGAGTTTCTGTATATGTGATCTTTGTTTTTATAATTTGCATTCAATTGTATCTTGTAGACAATGTGGAAACAACAATTTCTCATGGAGGAATAATTGTAACAGATGTAATGCCCCCAGGCCAGGAGGTGGTGGGGGAGATGATGGTGGTAAGATCAATTGGAAATACATCATTACATACAGAATTATTGAAAAAAATTCATCGTATGATTGGATGAGCAGAAAAAATTTAATATTTACAATAATAAAATTATTTTGAAATTATTTTATGTGAAATATAAGTTACATTTACTTTGGCTTGCCATTTGTCACGCTTCAAACACGGAACGATTTCTTTCAGGTTACCGTGGCAGTAGAGGAGGAATGAGAGGAGGTCGAGGTGGTTTTGACAGAGGCGGTCGTGGTGGGGGTGGTAGAGGCGGAGGATTTGGCGGCGGTAGAGGAGGTGGATTTGGTGGTGACAGAGGCCGCGGTGGTGGCGGAGGATTCCGAGGAGGACGAGGGGGAGACAGAGGAGGCAGAGACAGGTACTGTGTGTTGAATTTCTATAGAGTTCTAGTCTGTATGAGGAATTGTGGGAATGCTTAATTGAATACCTTGTATATAAATATTTGAGATGGAAATATGTAAATTACAAGGTCATTAAAGTAAAAGATTGTTAAATTTTAGCAGTGTTTTTATGGAGAGAAGGGAAAAATTGTATGGAAAATATATTATAATATATGTTTATTCATCTTTTATGAGAGGAATATTACTGCAGCAACTTTTTACTTCGAGATAAGTTTCTGAAAATATGATTTTATTTCTTTTTAGGGGAGGTGATATGGGCAGACAAGACAGACGACCAAAGCCATACTAGTTCAGAAGACTGTGACAGCTGTATTGCATTTTTACATAAGACATTGTTGTGTAATCATGTCTCATTTAATTCCATTGTTTTTAATGTTTTCATCATCTTTTAACCACTGAAAACTTGCTTAGAACATCAAGTCATTTTGTTAATAAATAGTGTGATGTTTATAGCCTCTGGGATTTTATGATTGGGAGTGTTTGACACATTAGTCAGGATGGTAAACAAATAATAAAGCTGAGCACGATTGGTAAAAAGGAATTTTGTCATACACTATTACTCATTGCTTAGGAGCCCCATGATAGCTTTTCATTTGTTCACAGTTCAGTATGATGCACTGGAATAGGTAGGCTACACTGCCTTTAGTTGAAGGCACTTTTCAACACGTGACAGTTTTCATCGAACCTTTCTGCAATTAATTGAAAGAATCGCAAAGAATTGCAGTCTACTAGGTGTATGGTTTTACGCTGGCTTACAGCATGTTATTTACGTGGTTCATGGAAACACCATGCATCTTTTTAACTAAGGCTGAAAAGTAAAATTGAGAGATTGTATTCCTAGCACAGACACTGCTCCATGCGCACATTAATATTGGAGTTGTGTCAGATGATAAGCTGCATGAAATACTATAATGCAGTTATCTGAAAATCAACTAAAAAACTCCACCATTAAAATGTGAGCATGGAACAGAGTCTTTGGTATATATATATTAGGCTTATAACGTAAACAAATTGCAGTAAGCCAACGAAAATCATATGTCTTTGATGATTGTTGAACACGCATTATACCGTCATGATTTGCAATTCATTGAATTGATTGGAGAAATTTGACGAAAACATTGTAACTTGTTGATAAGTGCCTTCCATAAACGACTGGAGTAAGGACGGTTCTAAACAGACATTGTAAAACACTCGATAGCTTCACTTCTTCCATGGCAAGGAAAAAGTTCCATGTATTCAGTGCGACATCAGTTGCTCATGTCAGTGGAATTGAAAAAAAATCAAAAACGAAAAAAAAAGCCAAATTCGCGTGAATTGCATTAAAAGTAATGCTAAACCCATATTGGCGACAAAATGTTCACTCTATGCAATTTGTAACAAAACGCTGAGCGGGGTATCGAATGCGAGGAATATTTACCAGTGCCGATGTAGTGCAACTGAAATGGCGTATGCATAAAATATTGACGAGCCTTGTTCAGCCTTATTGATATGAGCAAAAAGTACAGATTGGAAAAGTGTCCAACTAAAAAACAATTGCCATTTCCTTGATGGCAGCTTGATGACACAGCCGTTTTTAAAATTTATCACGCATTTATCAAGGTGATCCATACGCCAAATATGATAGTTCTAGCAAAACATGCTTTTGTTTGAGCCATTTTATACACTTAGGAGGTAAAAACTGCACAAAAGTTTATACTGTTACATTATATGTCTTCATGCTTTTAAAGAAATTTTTGATTAAATATCTGTACGTTGTAAAATTACTGCGTATGAATATATGTTCAAGCATTATAGGCGGATCTAACATCTAAAGTTTATTTGTAATTGACCTAGAATTTAACACAAACACCTGCTGCTGTCATGCATTAGCTGCAGCTTAAGTGTGCTTGTAAAAACTATTCTTAGAATCTAGATTTGCTGTGTGAATCTTTATAAACTAATTGGTCCATAGCACTGACCACTGCAGCTAGTGTGCTTAAATTCATCATAGAATCCAGGTTTGCAGTGCTGCTTTTCACAATGATATGTACGGAAGCCCATTAGTGCCAACCTGTATATATAAAGGAAAAGCAATATACACTTCATTTTTTAACTGCACATGGAGACATATTATATTCAATCTCTTAAGATGCAAAAATAAACTGAATATAAGGTATGGTGTGCAGATGTATCAAAAAGCTCAATTAACTCGAGCGAGTCAACTTACAGGCCCTTCAGGCCTTTGATTTAGTTTATGTTACCTTATGAGTGTTTACTTAAAGGCACTTGGACACAGATTTGAAGTTATTATTTTCTCTCTAATATTACGACTTATATATTTTAATAGCATTTCACACAAAAATTAATTAAAAATCTTATTTCATATAAAAGATATTAAAATTAAAATTTTTTTGGCGGGTTTGATTGACACATCCTTGCACTTTCACAAATTAATTTTATTCTTAATCCTTTGGAAAAGTGGAAAAGTATTAATGAAAAATATTAATACTATATTAATCCAGAAAAATTCAGAGTAGACATGTTCGAATACAAAACAAACACACAATATGTTGTCAGTCCGTGCAGTTGTGGTAAGCAGACTATGACGATTGAACGCACCCGGTGAATTGTAAACATAAACAATAACAGAACTCGTGCCCTGTTTACAAAAACTGTGTACATAACACGAGTGTGCTCGATTTGCTAAACTCTGTACACAACTCTTAGTTCGGAATGACGATACTTGTGAAGGAGTTTTGCTTTCTAATATTTCTACTCTGAATAAAATTATTTTTCTGGATAAAAGTTTTGATATTTCTCATTAATACACAAGATTGCCACTTTTCCTAAGGATGAAGAATAAGGTTAAAATTTGTGAAAGTGCAAGGATGTGTCAATCAAACCCGCCAAAAAATTTGAAGTTTTAATAACTTTTAAATGAAAAAAGATTTTTAATTAATTTTTGTGTGAAATGCTGTTAAAATATATACATGTAAGTCGTAATATTATAGAGAAAATATTGACTTCAAATCTGTGTCCAAGTACCTTTAAATCAAAATGAGAAGGCACAGAAAATGAGTTTAACATTATAAGCGAAAACAATTGCATTGAATTTGAGAGCAGAAGTATAACTCGTATTGCAGAAATCTAACCGTAAAGTATCACGACCTCATTATTTTTCAAAATATAATTGTTTCAATGTCGATGTACATGCAATAATGATTGCATATCAAACATGCATAACTAACTTTAAAATCCGTGTTATCCATCAAGATAAATGTATCTGGCATTTTGATTATTTCAAACAAAGAAAAAGATTCAAGGTTTAAAATTTCCTCAGTTCAAACAAGATAAATGCCATTGGATGTTTACTGACTATTGTGCTAAGTACTTCAAAATCGTTTTAATATTACACCAGACAGAACAATTGTGGATTTCAATGTAGAGTTTATAAAAACCCTACGTAAGTTTACAATCGAAGTTGGACCCATTCTTGTGGACATATAAAGGGAATTTCCCCCTAAAATTTTGGAATATTTTAACACAGCCTGGGGTTTCAGGATTATCTTGCTAAGAGTACTTTAAGGGTTCCAATGTATTTCTCCTTTTTTGTAGGCTGTAATCTAAGGGATACATAGATTAAATTTTCATTCTCATGAATTTTAAAAAAAAGTATGTAGCATCATTTGAACTGAGAATATTTTTATTGGACACAAAGTAAAGATCGGTACCTTCCTAACCGATATTTAAAAATACTTTATATATACCGTAAAGGACCGATCTTTAAAACTTAACAAAAAGCGAAAAATGATATCAGATATCGAAATACAGGAATGATAGACAGTCAAGTAATTCATGTATTTTTTTCCTCTAGTTTTTGTCAAATAAAAATTCTTAGTTCAAAGCTGGGGGGGGGGGGCATCTTGTGATATAGAGTTCTTTTCTCAATATGTCCTATAAAATGATAAGACGTGGGATATACTAGTATTAGGATGATGACGGAAAGTAAGATTTGAACTGCATAGAAAGTTTAGATATTCATTATTTTGTTGTTTGGCTTTCCTATCGAGAATTTTTCAATCATATGGAGACGCCAACACTTAGGGGGATGGGGGACTTGCTCGGCACTCAGGGCTATTGAGCAGCGAGGGATCTTCTTATTGTGCTAGCACCACCTGCGACACGGGAGCTCGGTTACACTATCTCATCCTAAGGTCTGGTCTCTATAAGTATAGATTTTGTTAATAGAACTTTGCTATTTATTCATTATTAATTTGCATTTTTTAAAACCAAAATAAGACCATCCCAAGTTTTTTTTCACCTGTTTCTCCATCCGTGCATATTTCAAACCTACCTACCTACCTATTCGCAACTAAGCTTATGCCTAAGAATGAAATTTCAGGAGACTTTCACGAAATATCTTTGTTACACAGTGTCATTATGCACCTCTTGTCTTACTTATTGATCGACACATATTTTGGCTCTCCCATAGCAAAACATGGACACTGGCATTCTTTCTATAATATTGAATGGTATCCATCTCTTATCCGCAATTCCTCTATCACCACTGAATAAAATTTAATGATACTTTTCACAGATTCTATAGTACATAATGTCATTGGGCACGTCCTATTTTACTTTTTGATCTGACACTTATTTTGGGTTACCCAGATCAAAATATGTATTTTGCCTTATAATCATACGGGAGGCAGGGGTTATCATTTATAGTAAGCTCAGTGCTCACAGAACCCTTAGCTTTAAAATTATATCATCTATTTTTGAACAGGCTCTTTATATTGTAAGTTGATCGTATTGTTGACCTTTGGTTCCATTCATAGACCTAAAGCGCTTTAGGTCTATGGTTCCACTGTATTTGAATTGAACATTATTTTGTATAATTAAATGTTCGATTCTAAGCAACAAAATTTGTTCAAGCCAAAACCATACCAATTCAAACTCGTATATTCGTTTTTTGACTCAGTATTGCTCCGGAAAAAGTGATTTTCCCTCCTTCCTGGCGAAGATGAAACAAATAGGTCGTTTGATTAAAGCTATAATATAGACTTCATTGCCTTTTGGTTCGAAATTTTCCACAAGTAAGTTTAGTTATACAAATTCCAAAAATGAATTTTCTAAGCTGTTTAAAACAATCCCATATTCAGTACCATTCAATACCAAAGTCCATAAAACAATACAAAACAGGAGCAGAGCAAACACGGACCTCCAAAACATCAGAGGTGGGATCAGGTGCCATAGAGAAGTGAGCATTCCCTGCCGACTGGTCACACCCGCCGTGTGCTCTTTGTCATAATCGGAAAATAACGGAAAAATCCGTCGTCAGTGCAGAGTATAAATAATGGACTTACAAAAAGTATGAAATACGTCAATCAGCATTTGACTCAATGATAAATTGTATTTGCTGTCAAGGTCATTGTATCGACCATAGAACTTAAGAAATGACGATTTTAAACGA